ATGGCACTCTGGAACTTAACAACTTCAATATACTGAAAGTTATGATTACATACCTGTTGAATAGTGTGGATTTGTCTGTATTTTGCAAGAAAATAGAATATAAAATACATTCCATCCAATTCCTCATCTTCCTCTACGTCATAATAGTCATTTATTAATTTATAGGATAATGAATTTCTTCAAAGCAATAAAAACATTATGTCCTCTCCATCCTAAAACACAAATCACATGTGTAAGACGTGTCAATCCCTACATCTCCCTGATGCATAATGCAATTACTATGGACATAGACAAAAAATTATGAAAAATGTTTCACAGATAAGTTCAAAAATCAAAAAAACTAGTAATGTTTACTGTTTGTCTATTTTTTTTTTTGACTGGCGGGGATATCTATCTGACATTCGCAGGGTTGCCAAGTCTAACGACGATGGTGGAGGGTGCGAAATGAATCTTTTACATTTGCTGGTTATGATTTTTTTTCGTGAAAATTTACTAGGTATCATGATTATAAGCATCTTTGGTAGATTGTTCGATCCGGAATGGGAAAGATCTCCTATTTATGAAAATATTTTTGGTATCATCTAACCGTTGCAATCAGTGCACAAACAATGTGACATATGATTTATAGCATAACCCGCTGCCCTATCAATACAAATTTAACATACAGGTCGCCTAGCCGTGGGGATGCACTGGTCGGGATGAATATCACGGCAGCAACTGATGATTTGGCCATGTCTGGTAAGAACGTATGAAGTGAAACTCGCTAACTTCACAAATTTGAAGATTTTGTACAATTTCTTTGAAAATGATGAAAGAATATGTCTGACTTGGCAGGGTAATGTCGCAGCCAAATGGCAGTCACTCTTTCTGACACAGTCCGGATCGAAAGATGACGATACTCGTGAAATATATTGATACTTCTAAATATAGGATCCTATAGAACATCCCTACTGTCAAGATGTATAACCCACGGTACCGACGGAGCTATTTTCGGCGTCATGGAAATAATTTTAAATTTTCATTTGCATTTTTTCAAGTGTTGTGCAATGATTTTGGGAAAAATGTCACGAATAGTCTTATAAAGCATAGTAGAGTATATTTCAACAGTTGGCGGAACTTACTCCACTGGGACCAGGAGGGTGAAACGGGATATTAATGCACAATCTGGCAACCCTGTCGCACCCTCACAAAATGGCCGCTGACAACTACACAAGTCACCGTGTTGTGATTGAATAGCATGGAATCAAACCTTCAGAGTATGTTTTGTGTCTGGTACCAAGAGTTGACAGAGCCCGTACATGTGTCACTCCTTGAAATGCAATAATCAGCTGTTTCCGAATAACGTCTAATATAAATATAACCCAGAATATATACTTAGTGAAAAAAGAAAAATATTGCAAATTTCTAGTTTTTCTGCAGGTTTTAGGTTTGCTGGTAGCTCTACGACATATATTTGGGTATTTCTTAATCGCTGTGAATATAGTGTGGATGTTTGCTAAGTTCCTGAACAACGAAAAATATTCAACTTTATGGATGTATGGATATTAAAAAACCAGAATGGTTTTGTGGGAATATCAATCTAAGGTGCTATAATGGTTCTGATGAACGGCAAGTAAATGAATGAATGTTTGGAAACGAGCAATATCTATGAACTTTTTGGTAGAGCCAGTCATCAAGTAGGTGCTTAATGGCTATCTGCAACAGGTTTATAGGAAAAAGCACCCAATAGATGATCTTGAATCAGTAAAATCGCATATCAATTGAAGAAAATAATATTATCATGAATAAATAATCAACAATGGTAATTAAAACATGAATTTTATTAAAAAATCAAACAGTTGTTTAAATTTTGACTGAATTATATGTAATTTTTTAATATTCAATAAGCTGGTGATGTTTCAATGACAAGATGTCATCTCATACTTTGACAATATTTTGATTTCAACATTTCATAGCTATTGGTTGCTAAAATTTGTTGATTGGAACTTGAAGCTCATTCGCTGTATTTAACGGGCTGTTACCCTATAGGTGGAGAATAACGGACTGTTGTTGGTGAAATTGGCCCTTAATATGGTTTTTGTCTTGTTTTGAAGTTTAAATTAACAACTAGGTTTTATCGTTTTATTTGTTTTTAATTTTTCCCTTGTCTCCTTGGAATATCAAAGACACTATTTTAATCAATATTAGAATTTGTATCCTCTTGGTTTTAGTTAAATAAATCATATTTTCATTAACTATACTAACTAAGCTTAATGGACTTTTCAGTGTCAGAAATGACAGGAAATAATTTTCCATCGGTTATTGCTTAGGTGGAAAAAATACCTTTTATTGTTATTTCGAAAATTATGAGGTCTACGTCAAAGTACGTTTGACAAAAATTATTCAGAATTTCTTGCAGAATACAAATATCGAATAAAATGTATAGCACATAAGAAAAACAAAAGTTGCTATCACTCTCTGAAAAACTGTATATTTGCCAATATCGCGGATACCAGCAACGGATCCGCTGTGGCTTCGAACCTAAACCTACCAATTTTAAAGAAATTAGATGAGTCATTCATCAGATATTTGATGCGTTCCAAACTCTTGTTACAGTCTGTATGTATATATAATGAGTAGTTTGATATTTGCTAGACCTATTAAAAATCTTATTAAACTACTTAATCCTCCAATTAACACTGTCAGTTCCGAACTGATATTATGATGGTTCATTATCTATACATTTTCGGCCGACTTCAACTACTATACGTCAAGCATAATTAATATTAACTGACACTGACATTGCTAATGATGGTTACAGTATATTATGCGAGGATTAGATGAATCCTGCCCACTTTTTATGACTTTTGTTTTTGGGGCTACTCATGATACGTATTATGTATAATATAGATGAGTAATGTCTGACGTCAGCAATCAAGCTTCTTACCAGCAGGAGAAGAAGCCAAAGAAAATACCAAGCGACGTAGTTATGCGATTATTATTAACGAACATCAATTTTGATATAGGAATTATTTGATAATAAATACGGTAAACTGTAAGACGTGGTCCTCCTACCTTACTGACACTGCCACTGCGAAATTAAAACTCTATTCCATGGCAAGTAAAAAAAGGCGTCAAGTAGACTGATTATATACGTCCCACGCCGGCGTTCAAATTTCCAAACTTCAAAGCGAAACTAAAAGTATGTTCACTCAAGTATGACGTATCGTGAACCTCTAGAGCTCAAACAACATTGGTCATGCGGTAATACGACAAGCCTTTTGCAAGGCGATGTAGGATTATCGAATTTCTAAGACCGTCTATGTAGTCCGGCCAATTGCAAATTTTATGAAAATTCTGTTTCTCCATCTCTCTTCGGAAGTACCTATTTTGGATTTCGAAACTTTCTTAGCGGCATTTACATAAATAAACAACTTTGTTTCCATTTATTAAGCAGCTTTTTATCTATTACCGCTTCCGAGATCCCAATCGTGTGGGTCAAATTTGAAACACTCGGTATACATGATCATACCTAGTCAATATTCGATTGTTTTTAAGTCCTAAATGAGCTTAACCGCTTTTTTTTGAGAGACTTCACTTGTCCGAATAATCGTTTTAGAAGCTAATACATATAACAGATTATTCCACGTTATAGAAACTGAAATTAAAGAAAATCATTAACATTTTAATCACTCTGATAATATTTTACTTCTATATCTTACATGTTTTAAATTGTTCCGGCAGATTTTTCTACTGGGCGGGGAAGTATTGTAATCGCGGAAAATTTTGAAATTGAGATTATATTTATTGGATGTTGTATATATCATGAAAAACCATGTCGCTCATTTCCTTTGGTCCTAATAATTGCAATGTATTGTGAAATCCTACTACAAATAAAGTCAAGAAAAAATTAAAACGATTTTGGAAAACTGCGGTATTTTACCGCGTCTCTTCCGAAGTAATTTGATTTCAAAACTTTCTAAGCGGCATTTTGTAAGTTAACTAAATACGCAACTTTGTCCTAAGCGACTTCGTATCTCCTATCTTTCCCGAGATTCCAATGGTGTGGGTCGAATTTGAAACATCTAGTAAATAACGATATAACCTAAACATCTACATCTCATCGTAAAGACAATAAATTATTTTTAGTCGTGTTTCAATGGCCTTTTTCATGAGTCTCTATTACGTTTTGATGTTTGCTGAGGTGAACAGCTGATCACCAAGTTATCGGCTTGAGCTCAAGACAGTGTTCAGAACCATTTATACCAAATGTTTATCTTGTTTTATTCGTGTCTGACTACATATATAGCAGCCATTTTGCTTATAGTTCTTTCTTGTGTACCATGGTCAATTTCTAAATAAAAGCGTTGTTAGGGAATATAGAATATGTACATAACAAAATGTCACCAGATTTAGCGTTGACAGATCCATCAGAATTGTGAGTCACTTTCCGATATGAGGTATTTTGGAATCTTTTTATATAAATAATAGAACAATTTTCCCCCTGAAGGGAAGAAAATTGATATTTCGGGTCTTGCCATAGGCCTGACCGTTGAGATTACGTTCCCTATCTACAGCTCCGGAGTCAGTATGTGTGCGTCTCTAGTCCCCCTTACCTTCGTCCTCCTCCCCTTTCTGTACGCCCATGCTCCTTGGAGCGATGCGCGCGCTGGCTAGTGGCGAGCGATTCCCCGCTCGCCCTTCAGTACTCTTGCGCCGGCAAGGCGTTACCTAGGTCAGGCCTATGGCAAGACCCGAAATATCAATTTTCTTCCCTTCAGGGGGAAAATTGTTCTATTTCGGCTCTGTGCCTACGGCCTGACCGTTGAGAAGTGTTTACAATCTGCCGGCGCGCCACGGTGTTAGAAAGCGTACTGTGACATGGTTAAACCATACTGAACTTTCTATATTTTCCCTACAGAAAATATCAACAATACAAGGACATAAACAGAATATGATAACTCTAACAGTTCATAAAAAGAAAAGTAACAGTCATTCTTGGCTCACAGCCATGATAATACTTATATAGGGACAAATTTATCCGAAATAAGTCTTCTGTTGCTGTTGTCAGGTACCAAATCCTTATCGATATTTTTATAGTAGTGTTTGAAGAAATTGCTTGATCCCTGCCAATTTCCTTTCTGCAAAACCTCATCCAATGGCATGTTATCATTGAAGCGGGATGTTGCCACTGCCGAGCGGGTACTGCCGGCTCCTCCTTCTATACCTGCCGATTTCAACGCTGTGCGGACCCATCCTGCTATCACTGCCCGAGATGCCGGTCCTATCTTCCCACGAGTTGTGACGAATAGTTGAGGAATCGGTCGACAGTGGAGGTTCCTTCTCTTTTCTGATATTTCTAGATATATGGTTGTCCAGTGTACTAGATCCCAGATGCATTCTCGATTTTTGAGGAGTTTCCAGCCTGACTGGACGTAGTTATGCTTGTCTGTCTTAGATCCATGTTGTGGCCAGAAAATTATGTATTCTTCGGTTTGTTCAAAGAAACCAGAATCTATTCGAAGGAGTGTCAAGTCATGGACTCTCCTTCCCGATGATAGCAGCAAAAGCAGCGATAGATGCCGGGCCACTTGAAAGATACTATTCGTATCTGGATGGTTATCATTAATCCAAGATAGAAGTTTATCGATGTTCCAAATCTTTGGCCTAGTTGCTGGAGGATTTGCATTTGCAATACCTCTAATTACCTGTTTCACTGTTGGGCTACTGGAAACTCCTTCACTATGTAGTGGATTGGAGAATGTCGCAATGGTGGATTTATGTAATAGGATCGTTCTAAGCGCCAATTTTCTTGTGTTGTGTAGGAAGCAGAGGTATTGAGCCACCTGCGTGGGGTTTGGATTTTTAACTGAAACTCTTCTTTTCTTCGCCCACGATTGCCAACTTTTCCATGCAACGGCATACGTTTTGAGAGTTGACTTGCGCCAGGATGTTTCTAAGATTCTCCTTTCATCCTTTGACCAGTGATTCGCTATATCGGACCACCCCGTATCTTCCATGCCTCCAGGTGTAAATCCATTACCTTTGGAGGAGGCTGGTTGGTTTGAAGATCTTCCAGGTGAGCCTTCAGATTCCGAATGGTGAACGGGTGGTCGATGGCACGTCTCTTCAGCAGGGGCCGCCAGAACACCCTTTCCCACCTGGGGACTATCATTATGAAAACTCCCTGACAATAGTTGAGGTGTTGGAGAACTCTTGGTATTAGGGGTGGAGGAGGGAATATCCACGCTAGCTTGTACTCCCACGTTCTTGTAAATGCGTTGACGAATTCTGCCTCCTTGCATGGGAATTGCGTTACAAATCTTGTAACGACGGCTGATTCTGGAGTCGCAAATAGGTCGATGCAAGGGGTTCCCCACTTTTCGAAGATCCTCTTCTGAGCTATCCTTGATAAGTGCCAGTCTGGCAGATCCTTTCCTCTGGATAGGTGGTCGGTCACGTTGATATGCCACTTTTCCTGCTGCTCTGTCCAGTTTCCTTTCCTCAAAGTGTCTCCTACTTGGGCTCCCCAGCCCGTGTTTGAGGCATCGGTTATTATATGAACTTCCGGTTCTTTCATGCAGATTATGGATGACCCTTTTAAGTTTTTCTCCCACCATCTTAGCTCTCGCAATACGTCCAGGTCTATATTGAACAGTTTCTTTGGTTGGTTTTCTGACATCCGATTGACTGCTCTTTGTATCTTTCTGCAATGTAGTCGACCCAATGGGATAACAAACGAGGCAAATTCCATTCTCCCTAGCAGTGCCTTTACCTGCTTCCAGCTCCAAGTCTTGCTCTTGATTCCAGCTTGGATTGATGTTTGCAGACGGTGGATTTTGTCCTCCGGTAAACTCTTTTGATTTCTTATGGTGTTCCACATAATACCTAGATATGCCAATTTCTGTGTAGGTCTTATTTCGGACTTCTCCAGGTTGATGCAGAAACCCAGCTTTATGAGAGTATCTATCAGGGTGGATACCTCTCGCTTTAGTTCTTCTGGATTCTGGTTTGCGATCAAAAAATCGTCCAAATAGACCATTACTCGAATGTTTTGTTTCCTCAAGTAGCTCGCCACCCAGTTCGTAACTGTTGCAAACACCTGTGGAGCGGAGCTTAGGCCAAATGGTAGTGCTGTCATAGCGTAGATGTTTTGCCGGTAATAAAGTCCCAGATAACGCCAATGCTTTTGCTTTATTGGCAAATGGAAATATGCTTGAGAAAGGTCGACTTTTACCATATAATCTCTTTCCTGGAGAAATAATGGCAGTTTGCTATGGTTCATAAGGCGGAACTTCTTGGGCGTGATGAAGCTGTTCAATCTTTTTAGATTGAACACTGGTCTCCACAAGCCCCCCGATTTCGGCGTCAAAAACATCTTTGATAAGAAACCTGTTTTTGTTTGCAGTTTTACTACCACCTTTTGATTTATGAGGTTTTGTATTTCTCGATCCATTTGTGTGGATGCTGGTGTCTCGAATTTGTTTAGTATCGGTTGGGATAGTACTGTTATTGGTGGCTTTATTGAGAAAGGGATCGCGTAGCCTTTCAGGATACTGAGAATCGATTGTGAGGCTCCCATACTTTTCCAAGCAGAGACATATTTGGCGAGTTGTCCTGCCTGAAAACTGTCAAAAACTCCGCCTTTTATCTAAAGGTGGTTGCTCCTTACGAGCTTGGTATGACTTTTCGCCCCCGGCTTACGCGAATGCTTAAACTCTGCCTTCTTCATTTTTTTAAATGAACCTTGACGCAGATACTTTTCATGAGAAGTTCCTTGAGGCACCTTCTGTCTCAGTGCGACTTTTCCCAAATTACTCTGCCAGCGGACAGGAGCAATTTTCGTCACTCCATGCATTTTAACCACATCTTTCAGCTGCTCTTCATCCCACAAGTGCGTACCTGACGGAGGAATCTCATTGACGATGGACCTATAGTAACTACTTTTAGGCTCGTATAGTTTCCTGCGACTTTCGATGATTTCCGCCCTTTTTCCGCAAACGAACTGCAGCAGGTCGTCCGAGATGGTCTTGTATTCACTGTTAGCAGCAAAAACTTTTTTCAAAGTGTCTGCCGCTTCCGGGTGTTTGTTCCCCGCCTCCTTCAGAGCCTCATGTATGATTCTCCGTTGCTTCAGTAGACCGTGTGAGATAGTCCCGAAGGCCAGGTCACTTTTGGATAACATATCTGTCATTGGGCTTGCATGTCCATTGTTGTACAAGGATGAGTTAACCTTCAGAGTACTGAAGACTGGTGATGCGTGGAGTTTTTTCTGAGCGTCCACGTAACGAATCTTGTTCCATGTCTCTTCCCCGAAACGCTGGCATTTCATGCCCTGTGTCTCGATTACTGGGTCCGCCCTAGGGACTGTAGGCTCGATTTCCCTAGTGACAGGGGAAAACGTGTCCCAGTCGTTTACGCTGCCACATGTGCCAATACTGTCGGCGTCATACAGCTCTTCACCTGTAGGAGTTGGAGCTTGCCACGTCGAATTCATGACGCTGCCATCGTTCTCTTTATTTCCTGAGACCAAGTGGTAAAGATTCTCGACCATGCTTTCCACGCGGCGTAGCCTTGTCTCATTGACATCCTCCTCCGAGCTCGAAGACAATACTCGCCGCCTCCTCTTCATTGGTTTCTCGGTTCTGACCGGGTACTCGTCGTCTGAGCTGGACGATTGACACCGTCTCCTTTTACTTCGGGACGTATAATTAGACTCCCCGTCCGTTGAAAGGGCCTCCGACGTCAGCTCTCTGGAACGCATAGTATGTTTAAGTGGTTCCACCGCCTTATTAAAGAGCTCCGCTTGAGCCATAGATCCTCGTAACTGACACGCTACCTGCCGTGGACTCATGATCAATGCTCTACAGAGGTTCCAGTCGAGAAGCCTCAATTTTATATTTCGGTAGGTTTTCTCTCCCACCGATGTTGCTTCTGGGTAGAATGCTTTCACCAGTTCCAATGTGGGGAGGGCGAAGCGAATTTTGTTCAATACTTTGTGGTCTATCTTTTTCCCAAATAGATCTTCTTTCTTCCAGTCAATCACCTTCCAGTCTCTCCAGCCGTCTGGCAGATGGTTCTCTATTAAGACCTTGATTCTGGAAAATATCGCTTCATCTTCTTCCTCCATTTCAACGTGGCTGGACCAGAGTTCACCCAGAGTAACAAAATTGGTTGCCATCGCCATCTGGAAGCAGATGTGCTATAATTAGTTAGTCGGTCGGGCCAAAAATGCAGCCGGTCGGGCCGAAATCTGCAGCCGTTCGGGCCAAATTCTGCAGCCGGTCGGGCCAAAATTTGCAGCCGGTCGGACCGAACGTAGCGGCCGGTCGGGCCAAAATTCGCAGCCGGTCGGGCCGAATTTAGCGGCCGGTCGGGCCGAAGTCTGCAGCCGGTCGGGCCGAAGTCTGCAGCCGGTCGGGCCGAAGTCTGCAGCTGGTCGGGCCGACTTGACGGGCCGGTCGGGCCGAAACATTGTGTAGATGGATCCGGCTGCAGGACTCCCTTCAATTTTCCTATGAATGGGCATTGTGCGCTTGCACACAAGTGCCCATATTATGCTCTAGCGAATTTGCCCAAGATGCATTAGAAGGGAGTCTCACGTCTGGACCGAGTGATCCGAGACCGTGACAATTTTATATCAAATGGTAGCCATCTACACTAAATTGTCAAACTAAGGTTTTTGTCTCTTACCTTTGCATTTATACTATTATTCTCTCGAACGTTACACAACGTTTAACTCGCGATGTTACACATACGCACACGCACACACCCTATCCGTGCGATAGATAAAAGCGTACTGAAGGGCGAGCGGGGAATCGCTCGCCACTAGCCAGCGCGCGCATCGCTCCAAGGAGCATGGGCGTACAGAAAGGGGAGGAGGACGAAGGTAAGGGGGACTAGAGACGCACACATACTGACTCCGGAGCTGTATATAGGGAACGTAATCTCAACGGTCAGGCCGTAGGCACAGAGCCGAAATGAGCTGTTATTTGCTGGAAGGATTGACGTAATCGAGACTCGTGTAAAAGACCACATGTGAGCGCGCCGGTGCTCTATATTACTGTGATCAGATTTTTTTAATAATAAAAACGCCTTTCACTGATGCCAAAATGCATCATTTTCAACCTCCTACTCCTTGTAACCCTCAATTCGCAATTTCAAATATTTTCTGAAACTGAACAGCAGTTTGAACCATCAAAGAATGAAGGATGAATGACTATAATGTTTTTCGACTATTATACTATTCGTCATTATTCGTCAGAGCGGTCCGGTGGACCTTTGCTCTTAGTTAAAACTCTCGTCGGTCTGTTAGTCTGTCAGGTCTGGCTACCCAGATACCAACCATGTTTGAGGGGAAAAGGGTATGAAGAAAAGACAGGAAGGAAGAAATAGAGCAAAGGAAAGAAGTGAATCATTTGAAATAGCTTAAGCTTTGACTAGTCGAATTATTTTGTAACTCCAAAAAATAGTTTTGATCGGTTTTGTATACTGAAATAATTTTGGCTGATATGAATTTACAATTTAATTTTGAACACAGTGCGAGGCGCGGCCTGGAATGTTTGCGATCTTGCTCGACTGTGTAGTCTACTGAATCACGCAACAGAGGGTTGCTGTGCGATATGTTTTTCGACTTTTGCGGTCATTGCATGGCATAACAGTAATCTTGTGATAAAATTTCAACGAACTCCGAGTCGTACCTTCCATACCATAGGAAGTGGTCCCCAACCTTTTCAGTGAGTTGAGCTACATTGATAATTTTGCAATAAACAGTAAGCTTTCTAGTCATAAGCAATGTAAGCCTACTTAACCACCGGACTTTAGAGTGAAGAAGTATATACCTGTACAGTCAATTTCATCGGCCAAGGGGTTGAATAATCTTCTTTGTAACGGTTGAGCTCTAATCTTTACTATCAATTTCTTAACGTTATTTAGTTTTAGAAAATGTCCACATGATGCTTGCTCATGGATAATGCAGTGGTAACAGAAAAATTGCGGAAAACTTTCATCTTTATGACATAACCCCACGAGACGCTTATTACGACCCACCATAGCTGGAGCGCCATCGGTTGTCAAGACCATTTTTGATATTGGATTGTTAGAATAAATAATATTTTCAAAAGAGAAAAACAAGTCTTGCCCAGTAGTCTGCCCTTTTAGTAGAATAAACTCCAAAAGACCTTCTTTAGTCGTAAAATCACTAAAAACCATCTTGACGACATCTGTGGATTCATCGAGCTGCAGTGAAAAATAAGCACAGTTATCGAAGACATTTCTCAACTGTAAAACTATATCATTGCTCATTACTTCTACTCGTCTCATCACTTTATTAGCAGAAAGTTGCATGGATTTTATAGCAGACACTATCTCGTCTTTATTTCTAAAGTTGGCAAGTAATGAATCTGCTGCTTCTAAAAACGCTTGTTTTATCATTCTTCATAAGGTTTATTCTTTTATGTAATTATCTGGGACACCCAGTATGATGCTTCAGTTGCAGCCTTACTTTTGTCGATTGTTTTTAAAAACATTGTCTGTTGTCCAGTTAACTGATTTTTTAATTGTTTCAGTTTTTCCGTTCTGGTTGCAGAACGTATTGGGAATGAATTTTCAAAATTCGAATGTACAGTTTCATAGTGCCTCCCGATATTCCCCATTTTTAGCAACGGAAACCGATGCATTTATTACATAACAAACATACATTCTTACGTTTAACTTATGTAAAGAAATATTGTGTTTCCCGTTCCAAATAGAAATGGTATGTCTTCATCCCCTTACTACTGCTCATAATGTTTGAGCGCACTGTCGCCGTGCCTTGCGTATTTATTCCGTTGAAAGTAATCGAGATCGTTCTCGAACAGAAAGCTCACCGCACTGTGGCCGCTGCTTGTGTTTATTTTGAGAATTTACAAAATTTACGGAGGTTTCTATGATTTTTACAAACTTTAAAATATGTTGTGAGCCACTAGAATTGCCTTTGCAATCTAGCTAATCTAATCTTAACATCAAAAAAAAATATAAAATAGGCAATTTTTCGCAGTCATAATAATACTTTCTTGCCAATGACCATTTCTTGCATTATTATGCCAGCATTTGCTGTTTCGAATATAACGAAGGAAACTCGCAAAACTAGCAAATCCCAAAAGTTATCTGATCGACTGTCCGCCTATGTATCGTAATCCATATTTGTATTTGTTTAAGACGCCCTGTATAAGTGCAGCTTGTATTATTGAAGCCACATCACGAATTGGGCCAAGCATCTCACAACACTTCCTTTATCTCTGACCGCCACTCCGTACAAGAGTCTTTCCTTAAGAACTAATTAGCCTGCACGAAAAAAATTAAAAAAGTTCTTCTTAAAACATACAGCCTATAAATATCGCCATTCATTACCAACTGAAGGTTGTTTATAACTCGGTCATGTTGTGAAAATTGCTCTTTAAATCCTCATCCTTGTTGACTTTTCATTAGCACGCTGTCAGCCGGCGAGAAAAAGTATCTGATTTTCTGGTGATTTTTCACGACAGACTGTTGAACAAATATAAGACGGAGTCAAGTTCAGTGAATCAGTATTATCCATTATCTGATGCAAAAATACATTGAAATGGAAATAAAACTAACGATTTCATTATGAAAATACGGGCTTGCATCATTATCATCACTGAGTACCATTAATTAATAATAATAATAAATCCTCTTTATTTAGGGGGCGAAGCTTAGCATAAGGCTACTCTGCCACTTGACCAAAAAAAAAAAAAAAGAAAAAACTGAGAAAACAATACAAAAAGCATAAATATATTTGATAAGTTAGAAGTTTAAAAATGTAGCTGTATAAAAAATATGATGTATATAACATACAAAATATATAAGTGAAGGCTATTCAATGTTTAATGAAATAAAAGCGTAAAATTGTAACAGTTATACAAAACAAAGAGGAATGCTATATTGGAAATATTTTTGTGTGGGGTGACAGATAAATTTTATCAACTAATTTATATACTTCTATTCAAAATAAATTTCTTCATATGTCTTTTAAATTCATCATATGATAGCAATTTTGTGGATCGAGGTAGAGCATTGTAAAAAATAATTGCGTTGTAAAGAAAGATTCACACAAAATTTCTTTAATTGTAAAGTCAAGAAATTGTTTATTAAGATATAGTTGACGTAAAATTGAAAAAACTCTTACTGATATTATTTACATGTGGTATAAAATTTCGACATTCATCTAGAGTTACGACCATATTTTCACTGACTCACTCACTTCTATAGTCTCACCATTTAATTTTACTTTAAAATTTCTTTTGGCATCACTTCTAAATAGTTTTGGTAAAGAAATGATGACTTTCGATTTTAAAGGGATCAACTGAAGGTTATGATTTTTTGCATACACAATAATACATGTTATATCTTCATTTACCTCAGATTCAGCATTTTGAATGTCATGATTATGGAAATGACTGTAGATCTGTGAATCGTCGGTAGAGAATTGGATATCACAATATTTAACAACTGAGTGGAGATCAGAAATATACAAAATGAATAGGAGTGGCCCAAGTACAGACCCTTGAGGCACTCCGGAGGAAATGAGGCACTTTGACGATAAAACCATGTGAATGTGTATCCTTTGATATCGATTTCCTAAGAAGCTCTGAATCATTTTTGAGGCAGAATCAGAAAAACCAAAATATTTACACTTGGCTACTAGAAAATTTATGGTATCGAATGCCTTAGACAAATCAAGAAGAACTAATAATGAGAAGAAAACAGGATGAATAGATGAACTCATCACTGTACTGCAGAAGTAAATTCATCCAAGAACGTAATTTTACAGTTTTTTGTGTTATATGTTTTAAAAAAGAACGATATTTCAATAAAAGTTATACTAATGACTTCAAAAATGATATTTAATCCTCAAGCGCTTGAAAAGTTTGCTTGCTGCTCTTGTTACGGAAAAAAACGGAAATAGGATAATTTACTGTTTCAAAAGTATCTGGGCTGGTTTTTCAATCGCTGGTGAACTGCTAAGTTTAGTAACTATTAGGTTTCCCTACAGTATATTCAGATAAGAGATAGACCGGATGTAAACAAAAGGTTCGGGTGATTTTCACGCTAACGCCGCCGTCTCGACGTAAAACAGGAGCCCTCATTGGTCAATTCGCAATTAAATGCCTATGCCGAGCGGCAGAG